TGGTTTCTCCCACTACAGACAGCACATACAGCAGAGTCCAAACTAGGCTCATTCCTGGGGTTTGGCTTTACTCAAAAGAAACCAGTGTTAAGGTAGCAAAGCTCAACTTAGGTCTCTTCTCCAGGCTTGGCTGCTCTTACAACAAACTTATTAGGACTCCCAAGTGTTTGCTGTAGGTTTTCACTGTCAAATTTTTGCTGTCAACCAAGTGAAGTCCTCAGCCAGCTTCCTCCCTTGGGTGAATGTCACCTAGTCCTAGTACATACCAGGCAGGGCAGTGTCCCATCGAGCAGGGATGCACTGAATACTCAATAGATAGTCTTGTGAAAAGAAATGCAGAATAGAATCTTATCCCCTCACTGTTGCTCTTGTCTGTCTGAGGTGGGATAGAGGTTGCCAACCAGTCACCCTGTGGTTGTAGTTAAAATTCAGCTAAAGCACATAAACACAACTTTTCAGAGGGAATAAAGTTGCACAAGTGGTCCTGTAAGAAGCCTGTAATTGAGCTGCTGCCTATGATTTTTAACACATACTATTCCAATCAAGCTTGCTCTGTGCCTGGGGGATACTGGGAGGAGGAGGAGAACAGAGAGGGGTAACATGAGAAGATGTGGCAGCGTGGACTTCAGTTAATGGGAGAGGGTGAACATAGTTACTGATGGCTTAGATTAAGTCTTTACTGCAGTGTTTTTATCAATATGAGGTAAAACTAGCATAAGCATGTTCAGCTGTACTGAAATCACACCTTCATTTTCCCATGCAGGTATACCCTGTAAATGGAAAGCCACTCCAAAGTCTTTGTTGCTATAATCTTCAAAAGACTATGGAGGAAAACATATACTGCTTAGTGACTAATGTAGCACAAATTCCCTGTAGCCCTAGTTACATAAACCACCATTTGAAAGACACAGTTTAGTTATAAAGTGCACGTTAAAAGCTGCTCTCTCCTTGAATTGTATATTGAATTCCCCATAAAGATTGTTTACAAGATCAGTTAAAAAGAAGTTTTAAAGAAGCTTTTGAGAGTTTCAGCACATGGTTACACCTTCTTTCTAGCCCCACAGCAAAGCATTTGGGATTATCCTAGAACTCTAGGGGTGAGCCAGTTATCTAAGAGACTGGCTGGGTAGGGAAAATGTGCTGGGGATTGGCTGTGAAATGGGCAGGAAGAAGAAGTTGCCCCCTGCCTGACGGGGGGTTACAGCACACATTGAGTAGTGCATGTTCCCTGGTGACAGGCACTTCCTCACTGTGCTCATGAGGCCACCATCACTTCACAGGACTACAAAGGGAATTTGAATTCTTCCTGTTTGTTTGTCCCAAGACATGACAGTGAAGAATGTACTGTCTTCCAATCTCCACGACCAAGAAAACAACCACATTTGGGAGAGATTTGTTCAACTGATGTTAAAAGTTAAAGATTACCTTTACTGTGCAGTAATTGTTCACTGAGGAATCTTTTAACAGGCTGTGAATAATGGTTTGTGTTATCACCGTATTATTCACTTTCAGAAAACATGAGTTTTGCAGTATGAAGGTAGATCCATATCCCCTGACTTTAAAAAAACTTTTCCAAAAACAATCCTGAAGCATTACATGATGTTTCGTATGCTTTTAATCCTGGCATTTAAAATGTAGGGTGGACAAATTTGTAGGTTCTGGAGACACTTGCACTTTGTGGCTATAAAGCTGCAGAGGATATCAGCTGAGATTTCTGCAGGCCACATGGAAAGAGCATTTTAAAGCTCTGTACTCGCCAGAGTTCACGGCTCTGTAAAGTAGCACATTATTCTGGAAGCAGTGCTTCTACTCAACTCTTTAATGTTTTACCAGAAAGAAAAGCATATTAGGTGGGTGTGCCTCTTCCATACTGCCACTGCTAAAAATCAGAGTTTTCATACAAGCCACATTGAGTGAGGGAACTGGCATGCCCTCTACAGTATGTCTTTATCTCAGTTCCCAGCATTAACTGGGATCATAATACTCAGTATTATTTGCTTCCCAGTCTATCACAGGGCTCTGAATTCATGGTATCAGTTGCATACCTCAGTGGTATGCAAGCTGCTTTACAGTCCTACACACCAGCCTGGACCCTTTGTCTTGGAAAGGAAACCCCTGCTCTCAAATTGTCCATGACAGATCCAGAAGTTACTGCTGACATTATTTCTCTCTGGGACTGGAGGATGACTTGGGTGTCCATATGACCTAGAAAAGCAAAAGTTGTTGCTCCAGATCATAGAATCATAGATCATAGAATAGATTGGGTTGGAAAAGACCTCCAAGATCATCAAGTCCAACCCCTGATCCAAGTCCAATTACTATGTCATGGCACTAAGGGCCACATCCAATCTCTTTTTAAAAACCTCCAGGGATGGTGAATCCACCACCTCTCTGGGCAGGCCCTTCCAATGCCTGATTACCCTCTCTGTAAAGAATTTCTTCCTAACATCTAACCTAAACCTCCCCTGGCAGAGCTGGAGCTCATGTCCCCTTGTCCTATTGTTGGTTGCCTGGGAGAAGAGACCAACCCCCACCTGGCTATAACCTCCCTTCAGGTAGTTGAAGGGAGTGATGAGGTCACCTCTAAGCCTTCTCTTCTCCAGACTAAACAACCCCAGCTCCCTCAGCCTCTCCTCATAGGACTTGTGCCCAAGTCCCTTCACCAGCCTCATTGCTCTTCTCTGGACCCGCTCCAGCACCTCAATATCCTGCTGCCTCTGCCACTGTGCAAGGAATACTGGCAAAACCAAAATCAGCATCTGGCCTGTAGCGAAAGTTAGCCCAACTCTTAGCAGCACTAATACCTGAAATCCCTTAGGGGTTGGTCCGGAAAAGAAATGACGTATAGAATTTACACTGAGGAATTTTCCTGCCAGGGAAGAATTCCTTACTTTCCTTCCCAATGCACTAGCAAGATTAGCACTGAATCCACACAGTGTAGTATGTAAGTATATCCAGCTACAGAAATTAAGGACTCTATTTGTAAGGAAGTTTCTTACCCTTTACTATTTAACTGTTTTTATTTGCTCTGTCTCACTGTATTAGTTACTGTTTTGAGATACTGGTGAAATGCTACTCAAAGACTGCTTCATAGAAAGCAGAATACTTAGGAGAAGATCACTGAAGGGACAGAAGTGATAAAGTAATTATCTGTAGGATTGGATTTAACACAGACCAGATGGTACCAAAGAAGAGGCAAGAACGCTTTGAAGAATAACCGTGAGTGCTGATTCCTCCGCTTAGAGAATTTACACTGATAATGAGCAGTATCAGAGATAATTAATTCATCAGAAGTATCTTGTATCTCAGGCCTTGTCTTTCTTAAGACTGACTAACATTGCTGCTGAAATCTGAAGTGCTGGAAGCGTGCATGTGCAAGAATATACTTTGAAACCTAGAAACTCATTGTCTAAAGCCACTTTACTCAGGAGTTATGAAGGTATTTCTTCTGCTGACTGCCACATAATGTACGTGTTTCCAAACATCTATCTGCATTTCTTCTGTTTCTCTGACAGTCTCTGCCTTTTAATGTTGTCTGTCCTCTTAATGGAAGAATCAAATTTAAGGTACACGCTTCAGTGTTGCTTCTGCTGATGTTATTATGGGAGTATCCCCTGTGCTTACAGAGTAAGACTGCTGTTTTGAAAGTAGATTACTTTTATTAAAATATTTCATTTTATTAAGGCACTAGAAGCATTTGTTTTATACGACACTTTCAGTATTTAAGACTTCTCTTTGCTGTGTTAAAAACAGGCACTGTAGAATCACTGAAGTATTTTCCCAAAGAAGAGTTCAACTTGCCTAGTTCTTAATCCTGTAATTACTTATGCATGTAGTTAAGACTAAAAACACTTCCTTTGTAATCACATGGAGAAGGATATGATGAATCATGGCCTTTGCTATATAGTCTCAGTGTCTAGAGGTACTCACGTAAGTCACAAATAATAATGATCCTTTTTTCTCCTACCTAAGTAAGTATTGTATCAACACAAAAAGTTTTGAATACAGGTTTTTACAGGAAAATATGTTTTGTTCTAAGTATTATCTATCTGAAGGTAACATAAAGGAACATTTTAACCACCAATTCAGTAAGTATTGACTTAGCTTTTAGCCAAGCTTTTTGTTCTCCAAGTGAAAAGAAAAAAATCAAAGTATGATATCCTATTGACTAAAATACTGAACTCGAGGACAAAATTCTCATTGGCTTTCGTATAGATGAGGATTTCACAAGAAATCTGTACATATGTAGCATGGGCTAGTTCTGGTTGTGTGGAGACTTACAGGCCACTGACAAAATAAAAAACAACATCAACTCAGCCATGCAGAACTATCAGAAATTGGTTAGAACACCGCACAACTTTTTTAGCATTCCAGTCACACACACACCTTCTCCAACTGCTCTTCCTGCTAAATAAATAAACCATAAAAGAACCCTAGAAAACCCTATAGCACCCATGTAGATTTTATGAGGCTTGTATATAAAAATAATATATAATAATGTACTTTTTCTCTCAGTCCTCACTCAGGCACAGTTGAAGCCAAGGATGAAGTATAAAATGATTAATCAATTTTTCTTTAAAATCTTGAGAAAAAAACTTTTTATAAATTTATAAAAAACTTTTTTATAAATTTATTAATATTCCTATTAATACTTTATACAGAACATTCTGAAATAGATCCAGTGTACATTTCTGCAGTTTCGAGTTGCACATGCTGTCTTGCACTTTATAGAGATGGCTTTCATTAGTGCTGAAGTAAACTCGGTGTGATTTTTACTCAGTAGGCTTTGGCCACTCTATCCCCCTCTTCCCCTTTATGTGTCAGTTGTAAATTGCTTGATAAATGTTTCATGCTTCCTCACTCTTGGCTTGCAACATCTTTAAAGATTCAAAAGACATAGGAAGGCTGAAAAGGCAACAGGTAGGTAATACAGCAGATGGCTCTGTCTCAAGTTAAACTTGCTCAGAGTAACAAGCAGTAAGATTGTATTTTTTCTGCAGAGTGCAGGGGGAGAGGCCATGAATGAAAATAAACTTCTGAACACAGACTCCAGCGCAGGATCAGTGGAAACTACCGTCAAGCCCTTACCATTTAAAGATCCAAACTTTATCGTAAGTATATTATTTGAACTATTTGAAATTCTGAACTTTTCCCATAAAACGTTAACTAGGATTCCAGTAACCATATTCCTAATGTAAATATTAACAAAAGCAGCTTAACAGTCAAATCAAAGGTTGACAGTTTTTGAAAAAATTCACCTAAAGTCTATGGTCCAAAGTGCAGACTATATTATAGCATGAAAATGGCATTGGTCCAGAGGCAGAACTGCTATATTAAATTCTGGAACAAAGTCAGAAAACCTGCTAGATCCAGGTAAGTGTGGAAATTTTATGATGCGGCATCTCACAAACTACCAAAGCTAGAGAGGAACAATTAACACGGCTGTGAAAGGCAGGAATCCCATGTTCCAGTTCCTAGCCAAGGCAGGCTGCAAAGCAATTAAACTAGAAATCAGCCCGAGAGTCAATACCAAATGGCATTTTGCTCCTCTTCTGGTCCTTGACACTCTTAACAGAGTTGTGGTGTCTTCTTAAAGTCATTGCTAGGTTTAGAAGCAAATGCCAGAAGAATGGCCTGCCGGCATTCAGAGTCATTTTAATGCTGACAGCTGATGAAATACAGGCTCCTAAACACTCTCAGGTTTAAACTGGGGGAGAAGGTAAAGGAAGATTATAGCTAGTAATGCTGTCACTGCTAGTTTGTTTTTAATATCTTTTTATCTTGCTGTGCCAAAGCCAACTCCTTGGCACACTGTACAAATGCTTTCTAGACAAGCAAACTTTTCAGACTGCTGGTCCTAAGCCAGTACTTAGAAAGAAGGATTTTATCCCAGATTTCATTCTGCATGAATGAGATACAATATCTCACAGCATAAACCCTGAGTAATTGGGCATCGGGCAGTTGACTAAGTACAGGTTTGGCAGGGGGTATAAAATTTATCTTTGACATGCAAGTCTCTCTATGTCTGCTTTGCAGACAACTTCTGTCATGGGAGGGGCATTCAAACGACCGTATACTTTGCTCACTAATCCTCCAGCAAGCACCAGCATCTTTGAGAAATGGGGCTTATTGGAAAAGCTCCTTTTGTGCCCAGGGACATTCCATGTAGCTTCCATATAGGATTTAAATAGCCAAGAGGCCTTGTGCTGAACTTTCAGTTCTTAGAGGATGTCACTATTTCCAAAGAGGCAATACTAATGTCTGCATGCTTGACATACTAATGAATGTACAGGGCCTTTGGCAACTGCTGCAGAAATAATAGGCAGTTATAATAAAAAAATATGAAATTGTCCTCTCCAGTACAGTAACTAATTTGAGAAGAAATGCATTGAGTTTTAACTAGCATTTCATTGGTATGACCTAGTAGTAACAATTTGGATGACTTTTTGCATCCTTTCACCTAATTTGCATTAAAAGGAAGAAAATAAATCAAATAGTGTCTATCTCTCATACGTATGCCAAAGTTTGAACCATTTGCTCGCAGCAGAGGATATACTTAAGAGCATAGAAGAGGGGAGAAATTACCTTTTCCTAAACTTTCTGAATGGTATTTACATCCCTTGACAATGGGGAAGGGAAGAAGACTTTCTGACAGTTGTATAGAGCAATATCTGCTATAGAGCAGTAGCTCCACCTGTCCTAGCGCCAGCTTTCTCTGAACTTCACTAGTGCAGAAATAGCTTGGTACATATACCTTATCTTAATATATCTTTTGCCTCCAAAAAAATGCTTTTAACAGGGTTATTTAGAAACCATTCACAGCTGAAGACTGTTTGCAGAACTTTGCTGAGTTTCTATGAGACTCATGTGATAGGTAGTAATTATTAACAGAAATAACGACTCCTCAATTGTAAGAACGTTTTCTTTTCTGACACAGAACTGTAAATCTGTGTCCTTTGATCATGTGGAAGTATTACAGTATGTTGTGCAGCTTCTGTCTCTGGAGGGACATAAATAAATTAGTCTTTAGCAATCACATTTGATAACTGAAAATACCATTATAGTACTTGTGACAAGCCTTCCATTAATGTACCTTTCAAAATGCAAAATTGTCTTGGCAGCCAACATTCTATTTATTATTCTTTTTCTATTATTCTGTCTTTTATCCTTTGAAAGAAAAATAAATTTTCTAGAAAGTTTCTCATAGTATTTATTACATTTTGCAAGATCAGTTGTGTTTGCTACAGTCATGGATAATTTGTAAAAGAGCTAGAACTTCACCTCTAATATGCCATAAAAAGGAGAGAGAAAATTTAACTGTGTAATCTCAATTTCAAACACAACTTCAGGGTAATAATTTCTAATATGAAGGGAGTACATACAGAATCCTAGAATCTCAAGCTAAACCTAACCACATTGATTTTTTATTTCCATGTAAAGAGCAGATTTTAATTTCCCTCATTTAATCAAAAACATAGAAGCTTTGACACAGTCCAAAAAGCTTTGTTTTTCTTGCAGCCAAGATTAAAGTATACAGTATATTATCCTACTGATGAAATAAGTGAGGATAACAAATCGTTCATGACAAGATGAGACGTATCAGAAAGACTATGAAATAGAAGTGTTATTAGTATTCTTTGTTTATTTTTTTTCTCTAAACACCATATTTTTGATTCTAGCACTCTGGCATTGGTGGAGCAGCAGCTGGCAAGAAGAACAGAACTTGGAAGAACCTAAAACAAATTCTTACTTCTGAAAGGGCATTGCCATGGCAACTAAATGATCCTAGCTGTAAGCTGCTTAGATGCTTTGCATGTATTTATAAATAATAGAATCCACACAAATAACTTTCTTTACAACAAATCTAAATTATTTCATCAGTGCATGCCATATCCTGCTTGAACAGGGGCCAGTAGTATGTTTAAGGCTGGTCCAATAACAACGGTGAGCCCTAAGCAGAAAGTAGGGGGAAGCAAATGATTTGGAGTATCATGACAAAGTTCAAATACATTTGGAGAGAGAGTTTAATAAAGGGAATGTATTTATCCAAACCAGGTCAGAAACTCTTATTCCCATCAAGTTTTTGTCACCTCTTCACTGGTTAGGAGCCTCCCCTTCCTCTGCATACAGCCCAGAGGTCTGCTGTTTGATTAGCTATATTGTAACAATTTTCAAATTGATTCTGCTAAGCCACATACCTGTAGAAGGTTAGACCTTAGCCCAAGCTTCCTATCTAGTCCCTTATCCTAGATTCTTGGGAGATTTAAATCCTACATCCCCTCTTTAGTACAGCACAGCTGAAACTATATTATTATCAGTCCTGATTAGCAGTCCTAGCTGGTGTACATCCACAGGAGCAGAGTTATAGCAGTGATCTTAATCTAGATATACTTCAAGTCTACTTGCAAAGTAGGATACTATTGAACTTAGCTAGAGGCAGAATGGGATCCTCAGATTTTACTTAAGCAAGTGGAGGCATTTCAGAATTGAGCATATGCATATACTTTTTGTCAGACGTGGTGCTTTATCCAAAAATAGCTTGCCATTTTTTGAAGTGTTTTAGGCACAACTGTTACAGAAAAATGCAGACTACTCTGTGTTCCTGGCTATTGTAACTGACAGTCTGCTGATGTTGCTATTTCTACTATGCTCTGTTTGCAACCATAAATTTACAGGATTTTTTTAAGAAGGAGGGAAGAGAAATTCAGTTTCATATTTAAAACCAGCAGTCTGTGGCATTAGGGTCTTTTGAATTATGAGATGGTAAGATAAAAATCTGATATGGAGGGAGCATTTGAATCGATCATAGTATTTGAATGAGTTGCAAGTGAGATCAGGAAAGAACAAAGAAATGAGTCAGGTACAAGATATTTTTGTAAACATCCAAAATTGGGGATTTAAATATTTAAATGTACTAACATATCTTGAAAAATGTTTATGAATGAGAGTTGCCAACTAAAGGGCACCAAAGAACAGCAATTTCCACCACTTAATTTAAACATTCAGACAATTTTCTAGGTCACTGACTGGGCTTAAAGTGGTACATGCTTAAAGATTTAACTGATTTAAAAGATTACTTTGCTTTTGTGGATTATAGTATTTCAGAGCTTCAGTCTTGAGCAATGTTTCATGATCTTAACATATAGCGTGCATATGATAAAGGCTATTCTTTGCATGTGACTGACTGCAAGGGAATTCATTAAGACTTGGAAAAAATCAACACATTACGAATAACTCTTGCATTTTTCCTTTTTGGTGGGGGGGGGGAGTTCTGCTTGCTGAACTCTATTGGAGAGGTGAGCAGGGTCAGAGGTAATTCTGTTCATATTTCTTTGCTTTAGTCTTGCTAATTAATAGGCACCTCAGAAATTAGGTTTATGTATTAAAATAACACTGAGTTTATCCCTTTGCTTCTCTCTAGATTTTAATATTGATGCTCCTCCTTCCTTTAAGCCTGCCAAGAAATATTCTGACATTTCAGGACTTCCGGTAAGTATTTTATCTTTCCTTTCAAATTTAGTGTCTCACTCTTCACAGTGAAGTAGTGCTGGTACATTGTTTTGTAAAAGATGTACATGCTGAAGTTCCTATTCAGCCTCGGGCTTAGTAGTTTTCTAGTGATTTAGGGCCAAACCCCAACTACTATCACTGCATCGCAAAATCCATAGGTTGTTAATAGATGTCTGGGCAGATTAAATAGCTTGTCCTGCCAGGTGGCTCCTATGACACCACTTCCTTACTTGTAGAATCAACAGTGGTCCCCACCATTTCTAAATCTCTAGATCTTTGCACTGAAAGCTAGTAGTCCCCCATGACTGCTAGCTTTGCCAAGCTATAACCACACCGACTGAAACTTTCCATGCTGAGTGTTTGCATGAGGCTGATCTATTTCATTGTATCTTGTAGAGGAAGTTTTAAAAAGATGGCTCAGCAATTTTCAATAATGAGATTAGGCAAAATTATATTGATTGGCCCAGGTTAAAAAAAAAATCCTTTTTATCATTGCTCTCAAACTTTCCCTCAAACAAATCAGCCAGAAACAGACACTTGGCATAGACTTTTGAGAATTTCAAATACCCCCATGCTTCAGAACTGGAACTTGGAGTTTGGCAGATATATATCCTATGTGTCACATATGGCCTCTTTTACATATTTTTGTTAAAGAATAAAGAAAAAGGGGAAAAAAACCCCAACCCTACGTTTGACTTAGATAGAGTTTGCACATGTTCCAAAAAGTCTCGGTAGTTACAATTTGGTATCTGAATTCCCCAAGGATTCTGTTGGCACAAAACTGGAGTAAAGTCATTGAATTCTGCCCAACAGAAAATTTGTATCTGCTGCTGAAACTGTTCCTACATGACATGAATAATTTTACTTAAAACAAAGCAGGTGTTAGTAACAGCATATCTTTTCACTTTTCACCTTCAGCTCCCAGTGATTTATTTTTCAGAAGCCTGTGTATCTAATGCAATTGAAATGAATGGGATGTTGTATTTTGGACTAAAATGCTTAAGTAATGGTTACACTAACTAACTACAATGATGAAAACTCTCTGACATCAAAGAATTTCACACAGAATTTCTGGGTCCCTTTTCCCAGTTAAATCTATTTTTCATCCATAACGCACCAGCCCACCTTCACAAGCTTGATATCACTTCACAGGTGATTTTAAGGTACACATTGCTGATGCAAGTTAACATACCATTTGCATTCTGTACACTGAATTAGGCAAAAGTCTTCATTACGAAACAAAATGGATGAGCACTTAGCTAAGGACTGCCTTATAGTGCATGCACAGTGTAAGGCACTAAAGAACAGCTATAACACCAACTGTAATCCTGCGTATCCTAGCATGTGTTTTCTTTGACTTTTTAATTTTATAACTAACACATTTAAATAAGGCACCTAGGAGGTGGCATGTTTCCAGCCTGTGCCTCCTAATGTGATTTGGAAATGTAGTGGGTTGCTCAGATAGAGGCTGGTAACCCTTGATGTTCAGGAGTGGGAAAGCAACATCTCCCTCACAGATGAACAGGCAGACAGCAAATGGAAGAGACTGCTCCTAAACCTAGGGAAAATAATTCCCTCCAGCCAGTCGGACTTACATTCTTGTACTTGTAGCAATAATGCTTTGATATAATAGCAGCTTGTTTTCAGAGAAGGAGCAGGGATCAGTTGAATACAGCACTTTGTATAAGTACCACTGCTCTATATAAAGATGCAGTGGATAAAGGAATGGGGGATAGGTGGGCATATGAAAAAATAATGAGTAGATTTCACTAACATAGCAAAAATTCTATACTGAGTCACTTAGTGGTGTTCATCTTTTCCCTATCCTCTCCCCTTAGAGTTGCTTTGCAAGTGTTAGTAGCACTCACACCAGGTGTTATTAAGTTGTTGCAACATCTCTGCTCTGTTTGGGGCTAAGCTGTGGGGAAGAAGGCATCGGAGCATAAGTTCCTTTCACTGCCCCATCTCCGAGGGAATATAATGCTTTCCAGCCTGACCTTTGATGCATTTCAAACTAGTCAGTCACACCTATAGCAAGGTGATGATGCAGGATATAGATGTGAGTGGAGACCACGTCCCTACCAGCTAAGGGTCAGTTTAGTCATAGGAAATAGGAGTCATTGTCTCAGTTCCTCAGCTTTCTTTACCATCTCCTGCTTCCCATCAGTGATTTATGTACTCTGAGTATTCTAGCTCAGTATAAATGCTCTCTATACAAATCCATTCAGTGCTTCTTTTTTTCCTTTTTCTGTTTCCACTTTTTTTTTTCTTAATTTTCCATCCTCTAATTGCATTGTGAGTCAAGTTTCCTATTTTATCTGGACTGCAAGGTTTCTCCAGACTATGATAAAATTACTGTGTTTAAAAAAATCTTTTTTATTAAAATAACTGAGTCAGTGTGTCCTTTAAATTGCTAGTCTAGAAATGTTTCATAAGAGGCACTAAATATGCTTTCAAGTCTTTCCTAGTGGAAAGATATGTAGGACAATAGAATATTTTAGAAATCTAGTATTAGAAAAATGCCCCTGTATTTTCTGTGTAAAATCTAAAAACATTTGTGTAAGAATATATTTTCTATGGGAATGCTAGATTCCCAATGGGGGGAAAAAAAAAAAAAAAGAAAACAAATTCCTTAGCAGTACCCATTTAGGAAGAATTAAATGGTCTAGCAGGTACAAAAAGAGAAGTATATTAAAACACTTTCAATTAGTATACTTGCACTTATATTAAATGCCACAATTAAATTCTGCTGATCCTCTTCTCTTTCTATGTGTAACACAAATGGAATTAAATTTACCAACATTCTCAGCAGAACAGCCTATATATTTGTAAGGCACATTAGAATTCAAAAGCTATTATTTTGTATATTGACACTGGAAAATAAACCTATTATTTCCAAACTTGGAAGGTACGTGTTTAGATATTTTAACGTGCAAAACAGGGTAATTTATTGTAAAGCAGATTAAAAAAAAAAACACAACAAAACAAAACTTCAAATGTTTATATTTCTCTTCCTTTTCTGAAAATGGATCATCCCAGTTACCATAGAAACAGACTGAGATAACTAGTTTATTGTATTTTAAGAGTGTGTCTCTGGCCTTTGGCGTAATTTTTAAACATGACGGAGTTTTTTCTTTGCAAAATCATCTTACTTTACTCTTCTAATCTTTTTAATTATTGCTGAAGTACTAGTAAAGTTTGTTTTCAGACTGAAGTCATGGCATAAATGAGTTGTCATACATCAGTGTCTGCAAACAGTGCAGCCCAATACAAAGTATCAGAATGATGGAGAATTACCATAATATTTTTAACCTAGATTGGTGCACAATACAAATTGCAGATATTGCTTGGCTAGCTTATTACTGAATCATGCACGTTTGAAAAACAGTCTAATTGGTTAGTCTTTTCTTACATGGTTACTTGCTGTAACCATGAAGTTACCACCACAGATAAATTTACTCCTAATGTTCTAACTTTGCCATTTGTTTGAAAATTAGTTGATGACTTGACTGTTAGCTGACTATATTTAATTAACCTAGTGACATTTCTTTGTAAAGAAAAAAGCTACAAATAACACTAAATTTTCTAAGCTATATCACAACAAACAATTAACTGGATTGTTACCACAGTCAACAGATGCTTTCCAACACAAAAATGATAGAGGCCTCTGCGCCAGCTCTTCCTGGCCTTTTCTATTTTTAGTACCAATGTCTTAAGGGATCTCAAGTGCCTGTGCCTTGCAGCCTGCCACCATCTCGTGTTAAAGAGAGGTACGGAAAACACTTTCAGAGTTTTGGGAGACTCTTAGTAATCCATTGCTGAACAGGCAGTGATCGTCCTAGAGGCTGAAGGTGGAGAGGCAATACCCTGAAGCCTGCCTTCTCCCAGCACAGCCTCCTGGCCTACCCCTGAGCTCATCTGAGCTCCAGGTTTCTGTAGCAACAGGGAAGGGGAGTTGATAGAAGGAAACTGGCACTGCTCCCAGGCACCCAGGGTCCAAATATAGCTGGGGATACACGCATAGTCCAGGGTGAGCTGGCCAGGCTGTTATCCTAAAAGCAGGCATCTGTAGCAAAACACAACACTGAGTTCAAATTTCTTATCAGTTCAGTCACAGAACCATAAGCTGAGACTCCCTAGCTTTAACAACCACTTTAAAGTAAATTAAAAGCTAAGTTGTATGCAGCAAAAGAAAAGCAGTCCAAAGCTATCAGAGCACCCATAATTCAGCCTCTTTGTGGGCAATTTATTGGCAGCAGCCTGACTGTTTGGAGAGCTGCCTTGAGAGAGACCGCACAAGGCACAGAGTTGCTAGGGTGAGTTTAGAATTGAGGAATTTCTTTTGCGCTATGTTTTATATGTAACTTATTTCAGCCCTCTGTTATGTTTAATGCATTTCTAATGTGATTTTATAGGGTTCTGTTAACGTCTCATAAGTTCTGACATGAGGAGAAAGAAAAAGAGACAAACTTTTGGTCACGTGGTAGAACAGCAGTGCTGTTACTGGGAACAGACACGCACTATTTTATGGTCTCATAATTAAAACACTTTTTTACTATTATGGTTTGAAATTTTATTTCAATAGTGTATCTACCATTGTCTTTTTTTTCAGGCAAATTACACAGATCCCCAGAGCAAGCTAAGGTTTAGTACTATTGAAGAATTTGCGTACATTCGGATGCTCCCTTCAGATGTGGTTACGGGATACCTAGCTCTAAGGAAAGCAACAAGTATTGTTTCCTGAAGAGACTGAATACTGTCGTACATCGCTTGTGAACAGAGCTAATTTTGAGCACCATGACGAAAAGTGACTGTGGGACTGAGGTTCTTTAAAACTATCCATGGATTTTTACATCTGGAAGTAGTTGATGATACATGCATTTGAAGAACATATGGATTTAATTTTCATAAATGCTGATATTTGTTAGTTTGCCAATTTGTCAGCAATTTGGTTTGGTGAACAGAATAACTTAGGCCTTAAGGATATATATTTGTACCATAATGTCTCATTTATATTAATTTTTGTAGAGACGAGATTTCATCTCCACCCTGTATATTTTATGCACTGCCCTGGCTCAGAAGGAATCCTCATTTAAATTAAGAAAAAGGCTCATACTTGTTTGTAAAATACCCTAATGAGTACACATAACAGGATTAAATCAAATCACTGGGTAACTCTTAATCATGACACTTGGCGGTTTTTGAGTGCTTCATTTCTCAACCTGACTATTCTACCTTTCCTAGTTAGAACAATATTAGTACTAATTAGCATGAAAAAAGTACTTATTTCCCAGACTTTTAAAAACAAATGCTAAAGAGCAGGAGTTCCACTGTCCATTGGCAGTGTTCTGCCACCCAGACGATCTTCAGAAAGGCAAGACTTTCTACATGAGAGCACAAAACTCAGCACCATGACACACCAAAAGAATAATTGAGAGCAAATGAACATTGTCACGCTTTAGAGGAAAGAGACTGAAGGAGAGTTTGGGCTCTTGGTGAGGTGATGGCTGACAAGTAGATGCCAACATCAGAATGACCATGACTTCCTGAAACTAAATCTAAGGGCCAGGGGTACAGAGGGTTTTCTGCTCCTTCTTTCTTTCTGTCCTCTTTCTTATGACAACCTGCTGATTTGATATTTTCCAACTTCTGAATCTTTGTCCCAGCCTTTGTAAGGTTTTAATCTGGACTCTAAGTTCAGGCTCAAGTGCTTCTACTCCCCAGTCACACAACCTTCACTCCCATTTATTGCCCTTTAATTGTGGCATTTCCCTCCCTTATCTCTCGGAGCCAGTGGGTGTTAGCCTGAAGGGCTGCTAGACAAGTTCCTCCTTGCTGTAGGAATGCTCTCTTCCCACATACAAAACTGCCAAGTGGAAGACTTGCACCATAGCTTGTTAGTTCTGGACTTCCCAGGTCACTAGGAAGATAAGGTGCTGGTCACAGGACAGCACTCCTATAGCACCAAAGATCCATCATGGACATAAAGATCTTGTGTAAGGCACATTTTTCTCTTTGACTGCACAAGCAGCACACAATAGGTTTAGTTAGTTTCTAAGTTGCACTTTGAATGCACATTTCTATAGACATAACAATTAAGATTATTTTTTTTCTCATTGAAAGAAATACGCAAAGTGTTACTGTGCTAGTTTAATTTCAACTCCAAACCAGGAAAAGCAATAATGGCATACATTGTTTAATGAAAGTCAGTGGGACTCATTCTTCAGTTTTTGTGATCTAATATTGCCAAAAACAAATTTTAAGTCTTTGACGTGCTTACAATAGAACCTTCAAAGCCCTAGATATCAGATAATGCTACAGCTGTATCACAGTACAAAAAAGAATAAGACAGGATATCTCTCCGCATGCCAGTAAGCATCCAAGCCACATTCTCTTTGCATCTGAGTTTTATAATGGATGTTTTTAACTTACTTTACATACTGAAGATGTGTTTATAAGATAAGCTTAGCACTGATATGAAAAGAAAACACATAGAACTGCTGTAAGATCATTTTTGTTTTAAATAAGTAGACAGCAGCTCAGAAAATCAATTTCATGAGCTTGTTTTCTCCCACAGATATTTTTAACATTCTTTGGGAATGATTGTGTAGGAGCCCAGGCTCCTCCACCATCAGAAGTGCTCCATGCACTACTGCACTCTATATTAAGATGTTGCCTCCCAGCTAATTTCTGCTGCGCAGCATTTATGTATTCCATTTTCAAAATTTAAGTGTCCTGCTGAATAAATCAGCATCATAAAGTAAATACATCTTAGATTTGGAAGAAACATTAGTGACTCTTCTCACAATGCTCTGTATCCATATGATGGCTGTTGGATTCCCTTTTCTTCCTTTCCATGTTTCTTCCATTGTTGGCTATTTTTTCCTAGTCGTTAGTTCTTCCCTTTTACTCTTTACACTGTGCAGTAGTCAAGCCAAGAGTGATGAATCAGCCACCAGCACCATTCAGCATTACATCGATCAGTGACTGTTTACTATGTGGAACAATCAAAACAAATTTGTTTTAGCAGGAAGCTGAGGACAGAACAGATCTAGCAGCCAATATGTACGATGGTGTTCAGTCCAGCTGGGTTCCTTTTGGGAACAGCATGTGAACCTGCTGCTCTCATCAGTGCCCTCTCTGAGAGAACTGACCAGTACCTCCCTTGCTTTATATAAGAGAAAATATGGATAAGTGAAAAGCTTATCAGTGCCACAGAATAGTTTTAAAGTGTCTTATTGACAGGTCTAGAAGAAGTGAAAATTGAGAAGTACATTTATATGTAAATAGGATTGTATCTAGATAAATATACATAAGTTGAATTTAAATTGGAAAGAGGACAAAACGGAAGAGAAGCAGCAACAAATACCATTTCAGACTCGGGGAGAATGTTTTGACTCATACTACTGCCACATCTATAAAGCAGAAAGCCAGCAGTCAGGGTGAGGACTAATCTGTTCAAGTACGACTGTTACTATCTGGGAAGTATCACCTGAATGCATTATTTAATATAGACCACGGATGGCTTCAGCCTCACATGCATTTGCATTAATATGTTCCCCTGTCATCCCCCTGTAACGGCTTACAGCACGCCAGTTGCTAAGCTCCCACAGAAATCCCACTGACATTAATGGGAATTGAGCTTGTCCAGCAACTTGCAAGGAGCAGTCCAACTGGCAAAGCTTTAGCCTCTAGTCTTTTTGGCAGGTGGAAAACATATTTTCCTTGCCTCATCTATCCTATTCCACAGGCCAAGCTCCTGTTTTCCTATGCAGCTACCTACTGAACACACACCACTGGTCCAGCAAACACTGGAGATGATGTTGCATCCAGCTTACTGTGGGGCTTTCTGTTTTTGTTTAAGATTGCAGTAGCTTGTATTTACCCCATACTTTGGGTGGATCTGCTTCTCTCAAAGGCCAGGACAAAGCAGGTAACTGCCTCTGCAGTGGTCAACCTCAGGGTAGCAGAACCTCTGTAGCTGCACCTGGTGTGGCCTAAACCCTGGCGCTGCAAGGATGCTGTGCTGAGCTGGGGCAGGGGCTGGATCACATGGGGCTCTGGGACTGCGGAGCCAGCTGCTCCCAAGGGAAGGGGTTCACTGAGAGCTATGAGAGGAATGAAGCTCTTAACAGCTGCAGTTGCTGCCTCTATGCTCTTTAGAGGATGGGAAAGCAGGGTGCAGTAGCTCCAGGGCTCTTTCCTTTATTATTCACTGCTGGTTCAAACAGCAGGTGTGCACCCATGGAAACTTTCTGCCCCAGCCCTTCCCTTCACTGTGTCTGTACTAGGAATGACCTTGGCCCCATGTCCTGGAAAGCAGCAAAATTCAATTCAGAGAGGCCTTGGGCCAGCTCATTTTGGAGCCCCTGCATTTCACTATCCTGTATTTCCTGGCTTTCTCCCATCAGGACCTTCAGGATCCCTATGGAGTTGCTATATATGGGCTTCAGTGGAGAACAGGAGTAGCAGGCACATGCAAGGACATGTGTCTTGATTTCCTTTGACAGAGGCCTGTAAGTGTCAAATCCCACCAAATTACAAAAAAATGAAGGTAAGCAAAGTGAAGGTCTTTTACTAGGGAAAAATATCAAGGTAAAAAGTAACCAGTATAAGCAGAAAAAGGTTTTTCTAAGTCTACTCTGTCAAAGAAAAAAGCTTGAAAAGCTTGATTACAATCTTCTTTTGAAGGGCTAAGTAATCTTTAATAAATTCATACAACAATAATTTATTATTTATTAGAAAACTTAGCAACTGGTTTTAAGGCCTCTTACAGTCTCTAACAATGTACATGGTTTATATACTAAAAACAAATAGCACATAGTTTTTCTTTCTGAATAAGTTAAAGGAAGAAGACTTTCACAGACTTGATGTGAGGTTCTGGGAGAAAAACCCTGACTTTTAAACAAGAAGAGTCAATCGGTGTATGTATTGTTACTGAACACTTCAGACACACTAAGATGATCATACCACTAATATTACAATTCATAAAATTCCTTCATTTCCCACATTTTATTATGTGTCTTCCAATGACAGACCACCTGGCCTGTTGACCAGTGGATGGTTGGAATGTAATAAAATAATACACCTTGAGGAAAGAAAAACATTTTCTTTAAGTCCGTTGGGTAAGTATTGCTTGACTTGTTTTTGTATTATCTGAGAAGCTTAACAAATCCAGTATTTTCAGGTGATTACACTACTGTAAATCACAGCCTAAGACAGCAATGGCACTAATCTCTTGGGAGAGATAATAACAATAAACAAACACTATTTAAAATACTGGTTAGTAGTGCCTGTGTAATTGCACACAGTTTATGACTTATGAGGTGACATGTACAGAACATTGCTGTCTCTGACACTGTAGCCTAAAATCAATAATCTGTACATAAAAAACATAATACTAGTGGATTAGATAATAAATTGGTTCTGGGGCTGGCTGTGGTTACTGTTTACCAGCATGTTCTCCTCTAGGCAAGAGCTCCCATCAGTTATCACATGCTGACTGCTGTGGCTCTGTTACTTGACTCCAGTGCACCCAGTACAGCACCCAGAAAACTGCATCTGATTCATGGACTTTCTAAAGTCTTCTCCAATGTCCCAAATCTGGGATGTAAAAGCTATTCTTCTCTCAAGTGAAGAAAGTCTCTAACCAGGCATAGCCCATGAGAATAGTGTCCCTTTTCTCTGCAAGTCTTGAATCCAAAGCATAGTTTGGGGTAAAGAAGAATAGGTGTCTTGTGTGTGAGTACTTCTGTTTCAGAACAGGTCACACACAGGCAAGGTATCAGCATCAGGTTTTGGAATTTCTGAAGACAGTTATCAACCTGTGCATGGGAAGAAAGTGTTTCCTACCTCATTGTATCAAAATAAATGGTATATGTGCACATTGAATGCAAATGTATAGATATGACAAATGTACAGCGAATATACCCTTGTAAGCAGAGATGAAGGCCTGGTCTGCTTGGCCAATACTTGGGCTGTACTGGGCACTGAGTAAGCAAGGTTAAATGGGGAGGTTTGAATTTTGTCCGTGATCTCATTTATATCCTGAGGCAAAGCAGTTTCCCTTGATTCTCTTCTCCCAGGAGGAAGGGATGCCTCTGAAAGGAC